GTATTTTGAAAATTGATAGAAAATAGAGAGTATTGATATTCATTAATGAACAAGTTTGCACAATGGTTTGAAAGATAGCACGCATTCTGTGCAATCCAAAAGAATACATATATAAACTAGCTTAGGATTTGGGGAACAGAACAGCTAGAACACACCCCACTCTGATTGAGCATCTGCCAGCATGGCTTGGGCTTGGTCCAACTCAGCTTTAGTTGTCTGAATGGATGCAGAACGATGTCTAATTTGGGAGAGCATCATCCTTGCTTCTTGATTAAGCTGGTCATGTTGCTGCTGCAGATGAGCCTTTCTTTGCCGGACAGAGGCAAGTTCTGCCATGAGTTTGGCTTCCTCAAGTTCAAGTGCTAAGTGTTGCTGAAGAATGACTGCAGAGGTTTGCTGGCTGAGTTTGAGTGAAGTAGATATGGTGTGGGCTTCATTTAGGAAATCCTTTTTGGTTTGAATATCCTTCGAGCAAGTCTGAACCATCTCTGAAAGGGTTGGCCATTCCGTGATGATCTTGGCCAATTGCTTTAGTTGAATGGGGTTGAAAGGATTAGGGGAGAGGTTTACAACAGTAGAAAGACAGGCCAAGGTTTCATCAGGTTTGTGGAGAATGATTTCTTCAACTGGGGTGTTAATGAGGTTGATGAAGGTGGTTAAGGTTTGTTGAGTTTCAGCATCAAACAGATGTAGCCTTTGAGGCAATGGGGATATTTCGTCTAGATCTTGTTGAAGAATAGAAAGTTCGGCCCAAATATCCTGGCATGGACCGACGGCCTGTGAACATTAATAGTTTGGTGAGAATATATGCTTGCAAGTAATAAAGAGTAAATAGGATGAGGTTGGAAATGGTAGTACCTGTCCTGATAACGTGCGCGTAGACGGTTGGCCTTGTTCAGCTATGGTTGTGGCATTAGGACGAGTTGTTTCTGGTACTGATGAAATGGCAACATCAGCGCCTTGAGGCTCTTTCTCTGGTTCTGCTAACAGGGGAAAGTCATGAGGACCTTCAAGTTCTGTCTCGCCCATTGGTCGTGGAGATGAGTCCTGTATTATGTCCATCCCTGTAAATTGGAGAACAATACCAGTTAAAGAAAAGTTTTTTTTTTCCTAAACGAACAGTAACATTTGTATTTCTATTTACCTTGGTTGTGGTGAACTTCTGGTTGAGGGGATTTTGTGTTGTCATCTGTTGGAGAGGATTGGCTGTTGATTGAAATGTCAAATTCAATCCTCTGTGATTCTTTGTTTGAAGTTTGGGAATTGGAGGGGTTGGATGGTGATGGTTGAGGGCTAGAGACAGAAGGGACAATGTGTTGAGGAGAAGTGGAAGGATGTTGTGATGCAGATTGTGTAGATTGCTGTGGCGAAGATTGTGAAGCAGGTTGTAAGGAAGTTTGTTGCGATGTAGATTGTGTAGATTGCTGTGGCGAAGACTGTGAAGTAGGTTGTAAGGAAGTTTGTTGCGATGCTTCAGGTGGTGGTGGAGTTGGTTGTACAGTGGGTTCTGTGGGTACATTACTGATTGGACTGGGAATTTGATGAATGTGTTGAGGAGAAGTGGAAGCATCGTCATCATCAGCAGCAGCAAGGAGTAATCTCCTTCTTTTTCTCTGCACAAAAGTAAGTGATCAGTCGGGCGTGAATGCAAATTCAGATGCTGTAAATATGTAAAGTGAAGGCTTACTTGGTAGAGCTGCCCTGAAGGATTTGATGTTGTTTCGCCAACCATTTGGCTGAGAGGGATATCCCACTCACTTAGGTCTGTGCTTAGAGCAGGAGCAGTGGAAGGCTCTTCTCTCTTCTTCGCCGTGACCTCTGTCTCAGCAGGGGTACGGGTGGTAGCTCCTCTTAGGGGTGAAACAAAAAAACTAAAACGCCAACCAAACCATCCACCAAAAATTCATAACTAACAAATACCTCAACATTAAGGTAGCAACAATTAGTCAAAACAACTTAAATAAAGTACGGTTACAAACCATGCCATATTATTCCAATGCTAAAGTCATTAAAAATAATAATAATTACATAAGTTAGTATCAATCCTAAGCTCAAAAAAAAAAATAAATAAAAGAACTCCAAATGACATGTCCTACGATCACGGTTATTTCTTGTCACCACCAAAGCCTCTACTAATCCTGCAAAGGAAGCTCAGCTGCGCTCCAACAGAACGCACCCGAATTGCCAAGAGACAAAACGGGTCAATATATAGGTATACTGGTATGAGTACAAGAATTGACACCCACGTGTCCACCAGACACAAACAAAAAGTACATTATTTCTTATCACGGGACAAAACAAGTAGTTCTAACCGCATCGAGACGAATGGGTAGTTTCCCGAGATACGGTGGCATTTAGTTTCTTGTCCGTATACAACGAAATATAAATTGATTATAGACTAGACAACATAGAAATAAAAATATGGTGGGTTAGCCCTGCATAAAAAGTTAGTAAGACCCACCATCCTGCAAAACAAATAAAGTTAGTATAGTTTAATCATAAGTAGCTTGTCGAAACAAATATAAAATTACACCGTTTCATACTTAAATAATTCGAATTGATCAAAACTCAAAGAACGAAAGTTGTACAGAATCAAATTTCCTAAAAGACAACGTGAACGAATTTAACATAAACTGAACAGGTTAAGAGAAAAACTTGATCTAAAAATCTAGATGGAATTCAATCGAAAAATATGAAGCTGAAAACGAACAAAAACTGCCATAAGATGATTTTTTTCGAAAAATTTCAAAACATGAAAAGTGTGCAGAATAATGTTTTACTTCAGTTTACGCGAAACTAATAAAAATGAACTCGTTTCGTGGTTAAAACAGCCTATAAAAATTTGCATTACCAGAGTGAATCAAACCGACAATAACCAAGGTCATCCGATTATAAATTCTAATCGATCTTTTAATAAAAAGCTACAACACAAAAGTTGTCCAAAATCACGAATACATGCTTCTGCTCAAATTTCATAATTTGGCAAGATCGTTTACTATTTTTTTTTCATGTACATAACAGTACCATACACACTATACTAATAAATTCAAAATTAAATTCTTTGTTCCTTAACTCCACCACTTCGGCTCTCCCCTTCCGGCCTACACATATATCCCATGTGTCTCCCGTATACCTAACACCGCTCCGAAGCCAAACTTGCACGGGGACATCGTCCCGAGTTTGACTCACACTCCCCAGATGGTTAGCATATACGTACGCGCGCAAATCAAAGCACTCGTCTACTCATGAGATAGTGGTGATTTGAGGAAGGAGATTATGATGGAGGCACATAGTTCTAGTTACAGCATTCATCCTGGAAGCACTAAGATGTATCGGGATCTTCATGAACATTTTTGGTGGAATGGTATGAAGGGAGATATTGCAGAATTTGTGGCTCAGTGTTTGGTGTGTCAACAGGTTAAAGTAGAACATCAGAAACCTGCGGGGAAACTACAACCCTTGCCATCCAAAAACTCTAAACCTTACATATACGTCTAATCAATATATTAAAAATTAGTCAATTATTTAAAAATTCTAAACCTTACATATCCAACTAATTAAATAATTACAATCAATTAATTACCTAAAATCTTAGACCTTACATACATCTAATCAACATAATTAAAATTAATCAATCATCTAAAAAATCCTAAACCTTACATACTCAATTAATTAAAATTATTACAATCAATTAATCATCTAAAACCGTAAACCTTACATATACATCTAGTCAACATAATTAAAATTAATCAATCACCTAAAAAAAATCCAAACCTTACAATACCAATAATTAAAATATTACACATCTATAATCATCTAAAAATCCTAAACCTTACATATACGTCTAATCAATTAATTAAAATTATCAATCGTCTAAAAAAAATCCAAACCTTACATACCCAAGCTAATTAAAATTATTACAATCTATTAATCATCTAAAATCCTAAACCTTACATTATGTCAATCAACATAATTAAAAATTAATCAATCGTCTAAAAAATCCCAAACCTTACATACCCAACAATTAAAATTATTACATTCTATTAATCATCTAAAAATCCTAAACCTTACATATACGTCTAATCAACATAATTAAAATTAATCAATCGTCTAAAAATCCTAAACTTACATATACATCTAATCAAGTAATTAAAATTAATCAATCATCTAAAACCCTTAAGTTTAACTACACAACTAATCAAAGTAATTAAAAATCAATCACTTATCTAAGAACCCTAAAACTTTACATATACTACTAGTCAAAATAATTAAATCAATCTATTATCTATAACCCTAAATCTTATATCACAACTAATCAAAATAATTAATTAATCTATCATCTTTATGTAAAACAAAATCAAACTAACAATAACAAATAAAAAATAATAAATAAATAAAACAGGCGAATTAACATAAATCAATGAAAGTGGGTTTTGTACTCACCATAATTTTTTTGAAGGTCAATAAAATATTGGAGAACTAAAGAGCCACCAAAAACAAACCCTATTCCTTTTATTTTTGCTCCTTTTCCTTTTTCCCCGTGTTCCTCTTTATCTCGCTTTTCTGGTTTTTTTTCTTTTCTGATCTTGGTTTTTCTTTTCTTGATCTTGGTTTTTTTTCTGATACTCTGTCTCTCTCTCTCTTGCCACACACACCAACACTCTCTTTTTCTTTCTTTTTATTTATACCCTAATTGACTACATAATATATTATATATATTATATACCCTAAATCTCATCCATAAACCTAAATAAACTATTATATAATGATTATACAACATTTTAATATAATAAATATAAATATACATATTATATATATATAATATATGTAATAAAATATAAATACACCTTTCTTTTTTTTTATATATATAAACAAATATAAATATTTAGATAATTATATATAATTAAATAACACATTAAATTAATTAATTACCACATTAAATTCTTAATGTGGTAATAATATAAATATAAATACAAGT